GATAAAGAGAAAGTCTGAATAATCATTTAATCAAATGTTTATCAGTGGTGATTACAGTATTTTAACTGAAATGATTCAATGATTCTAGTTTTAAATCCCTGTTTGTAATGTATTCACCCCATTTGGTTGTATGTAAGTATTGAAAGAATAGCTGTCTTTTATTCCTTTTATTTTCCTCTAAATGTGAAAAATGAGAACAAGCTGGCAGCGAGTGTTTCCTTGCGATGCCGTTACCTTCTGCTTCAACTGTGACATATTCCTTGATATTTTCCCACTGAACTGACGATAGTTTGAAGGTGTTACTCTATGATCATCTGACTGTTGCACAGTGGGAATCAGCGGCCGTGCACCTGTCACTGCTGCTTCTTGCTTATCTCTGATGTGTCCATCATTTTAAATCTGCCCATCAGGTTCTGTCAATCAACGTCCCTCAGAAATAGGCCACCAGCTCCACATGGCTCCAAGGAAATGCTGCAGTTTCTCTCAACGTTCACTTTCTATCTCCGTCACGCAGGTTGTCACAGTTAGAAATTCTGTCCATATGCTCTTTTAAAGTATCATTGTGCGTAGGGGGGGTTGTTTAGAGGAGGTGACCACCCCCGCTGATCAGTGACCATGTTTAAATGTTTTTATAGAAATAACATTTTGAATCAATCTGAATCATTTATCAGTCATTTATAGATTTGTATGTATGTATATACATACATACAAATCTATAAATGATATACACACACATACATTGTATACAATTTCATAAGCACAGTGACATCATTTCACCCAAAATGCTTCTGTTTCTGTTTTTCAGGACCGGTGTGTAGTTTCAGAAGCTGGCGATCATGTGATACTGTGGTAGATCAACCACTGACAGGCCTGAACTACAATACTATGATACATTAGTACTGTCACAACTGATCATTCTGAACTCAGATGAAACAGTGGTACAGTGGGTATCATTGTCGCCTTATGCCCAACGTCAGCATGGGATTGGCTCCAGCCCCCCTGCAAGTGTTACACATAATGGATGGATGGCTCTGAACATGTTGAGTGATTGGAATCACAAAATAGTGGAATTTCTATTTGAGGGGGTCTTTTACTCCCATTTTCAAGTTGCTGAAAAGTGTTTCAGGACTTCAAATGACTTTTCGACTCAGGTCTGAAATCCCACAAGGACACGCCAGGTTCTGAAACTTTTGATTCACCATAGAAACAAGAGGGACTAGCATAGGCTTTACATTATCATCTGCTGAAGAGCTAAACACACCAGTGCATCTAATCCTCCAGTAATGAGCTGCAGAAGGTTTGTTTACTCAGTGTGATCAACAGGGTTCCCCAGTAATGGTCCAAAGTGTTTTTTTTATTACGTTAACAGAGAGACACAGCTCTACATGCCTATAATGTTCATATGGGCATTATTATTTACAGTTATGTAAACTTTCTATATTTCTTTTTTATAATAACTTGCTGAAGAAAAATTGCCAAGCAAATCGGCCAAGATAAAAAGAGCCACATTTAATTACCAGTTTTATAGAAGATGTTTCTATCAATTTCCTGAATGTCCGTAAGAAACTCATGCAAGCAACAAGGCTCCCCTGCACCTGATGCTAACTCCTTAAACACTGAAAACATTTACAGCGCTGCTAAATCAAGCGTAGTCACATTGAGATTGCCAATTACCTTGAAGGCATGAAGAGCAGAAGAGTAAGAATTAAAACAAGTCTCTCGGATACACTGGGCGACCTTCACTGGGAGAGGCAGCAGCGCTCGGCTGCCATATTTTATCTGCTTTATTTTCTTATGTTGACATTTTTATTCCATTATAAATGCATTTCTTAAAACAACCTTTATTCTGTGGGGCTCTGGGTTTGTCTTGTCCTCACTCTTGACGTATTTGGCCTTCTGAGCCGTTCTGATCTGTCATGCTAAATAGCTCCTGAGTGCACTTTGTTTTTCCCCCCAAGTTTTATTATTCAGGGGGGAGGAATATTCAGACGGCGCACCTGTTTTGTTGTGACATGCACACATGCAGAGAAGCAGTACCAGGACGTATCAGTTCATAGCTGAGTAAACATGACAAAAGTTGGGTGAACCCGGGGGGAAGTGATGCGTACAGTACATCTCTGGTTTCTCTCCCAGAACCGAATCAACGTCTGCACACATGTGAATCCATTGAACAGCTGAGAATTTGTGTGGGCGGGAAGTCTTAACGGAGGCTAATGAGTTTAACAAATCACTTATGTGCTGTATTCGCATCCTTTCGTCCGTGGTCCATCTATCACTGTGATTTTTAGAGTTTATTTCTCTTTCCTCAGGATAATGAGTGAACGCCACAAAACACAACCTGAATCTGATCAACGGTTTTATTCAGACTGTCTCTCTCTCTCCCTCTCTCTCTCTCTCTTCCTCTCTCACTCTCCCTCTCCCTCTCTCTCTCTGAGTGCCTGTCTCCCAATCTCTCCCCTGCAGCATTAGAGATTACGTTTTCAGTACGTCACCAACTAGTGACTGCTTATCCACACCAAACACACATATATATATAAACACTCACCACCACCTGTATACCACTGCTGTGTTGAGTTTATTCCATCGTGCGCATGCTTCTCCGTCTCCCTCTGGTGCTCCAGGTCCATAAATTAAGTGCATCTCTACCCACCACTGCTGCTGTTGGATTTATGGAGCCCAAGATGAGCATTGAGTGCCTGCAGAGGTGTGTGAACATCTACTTCACTCCTCGAGCTTACCCAGTCGTAGCACCATAGCAATACCAATTTCCCCGTGGTTAATGTTATTTTGTGAGGATTTAGGAATTACAGTTTACTGAGTCACAGTACAGCTCAGATTCCATATACTTGAAGAGTAACTTTTCTTATCAGCCCATTCCCCATAAATACATGGTTTCTTTTTCTTTAGCATTACACCCACATAAAATTCATATCTTTTATTTTAAGAGTTTCACAAGTTTTGTGTCCAGTTTCAGGAAATCAAAACATGGCACCTGAGATGTTGAGACATGTTTAGAATACTGCGGGTCTATAACTGCATTCACTATTATTGTTGAATCTATTCATCCCATTCCTACTGCCAAAATGACATCCCTTTGTCATAAAACTGCTTTCTCTCCGCAGTGGATTTTTTCCAAGGTTAACAGTGAGCATGTACACAATTGCCCCATAACAGCCACTAATGAGCACTGGATCAAGATAGCGACTGAAAGACAGAACAGACCATCAGCGGAAACGACCTGATACACAGTGAGGCCGGTGCACATTTTTGAGTGAGAGCGTTCCTATTGATTTGCTGGCGATTCATTGCAAAAGGCTTGTTGTTGTTGTTGTGTGCTCAAAGAAAAGGTATTCAAGAGTGCAAGAATTCTCTCCAAGGTGAGACGCTGTCAAGGCTGTTATACAGCCTTTTGTTCACCGACAGTCGTTGTTGAACATATTGACCAAAACATCTTTACACATTGTTTGTCTTTCAGAGAAATAAAATGGAGCTTCATTTACTCTGTGCTTGGGTCCCTCATCATTCCCTCATTATTCATCTCTTCATCTCATTGTAGCATTGATTACCTTGTCTTACCGTGTGTGTGTGTGTGTGTGTGTGTGTGTGTGTACTCTGTCCTGCACTTGACTCCGAGGTAACTCGCAGTGTGGACATCCTGATTCGTCCACTAGAGGCCATCTTCTTGTGTCATCTCCCAAAAGCTGAATAAAACGCAATCAACAGCCAAGTCAGATTCCAGTGGAGGTGCACCACCAGCAAAATGAAAGCAGCCAGCATTCACTGTTGAAATCAATCAATGAATTACAGCACTACACCCACATCACCTGATAAAACTGACACGAAACGTGAGTCAAGTTGAATGTTGTTGATCTCGGATAAAGTTCAAGTTCACATCAGTCACTTCTCAAGAAGATGACTCAACATTCTATGAAGTATTATATCTCAGAAAAAACTTCAGTTACTGAAAAAATGAATAAAGAATCAAATAAGAATCAGTTCATTTATCATGTGCAACATGGACCAAACTCTGTCTAATCATTTTACTGCATAGCTGCAGGAAAAAGGTTCATACACTTTAGGTAAACTCACTAGATTAACATTATTACCAGGAATATTATTATTTCATTTTGTTTTAAAGAAATATATATATATTAACTTGCATATTTCACTTTAAAAAGATGTTTAAAAAAATATTATTTTAACTTACATTTAATTAAGATTAATATTTTGCAGAAATACAAATGATAAGTATTTTAATCTACTTTCTTGTATAGATAATTATCTCACGAAAGCTCAGATGTATCTTTTGACCCCTTGGAAAGACCCAGCCCCTGAGTTCATGACCACTGGACTGAAATAGATAAACTTGGCTGTACAAAGCTGCACCTCGATCAGCTCAGTACATGCACATTAATGCAGCAGAAAATAGAAAATTAAAAAAATGTATTTTTCCTATGCAACAAGTTATATTTTGATACATGAAGTACTTCTAGCTTCTTTATTTTAATACTTAGACTTCATAATTTTTCATAATTAACTTGTAATGGACTTTAGTTTTATGTTGCTGTAATTGTACTTTTAGAATTACCAAATATTTCTTCTACCACAGGTTATTATTGTAGTATTTTTATTGCATTATGCATATAACACTTATGAGACCTGGGATAATTGCAGTCATCCCCATTAAACCCTGAGCAAACAGAAACACGTAGAGATGGTAAGGCAGCAGCTCCTTGTGGTTTGAGGAGAAAATATTGGTTTTCAGATAAAGGCCTCTTTGGTCCTTGTGTTAATTGGTCATTGGAGCTAAGAATTATTTTAAACCCTGAGTAAATGATTCATTACCTCACAGATGAGAGGCTCAAAAGAATTTATGAAAAAGACACAAATGACAGCCTTGGAAGTAAAATCTGTTCATCCAGTGCCCCGAGGGGGAAATTGAGTTTTATCGATGGTGTGCAGCTAAATCATATTTCCTGCATCATTAACTGTTATTTCGCCTTACTGTAGTTATTGTCTATTGTGAGTCGACCTCATATTTTTGTTTACTTTTTATATTTTCCTTCCTTATACTTTCTGTTTAGTGATAGTTGTGTGTTGAATGCAAACTCAGCAGTGTGGTATTATTAACTGTAATATAGCAGTGGTGGTGATGCTGCCTCTTACGTCCATATTTGGCCTCTGGTACGCTCACTCAGGATAAATGAGAAATGATAAAAAGCATTGTCCGTTTTGCTACCGTGCCTTTATGTGTTATGCACAGTACAGTATGCTCTTTCCAGCTTCAATAATTCCATAGCATGTAACTGTAATCCTAATCGTCACATAATTTAATTCATTTTAAAAATATTTTGTGTCAAAAAGAACAAAGAAAACCACATATTTACACATAAAACACCAAACTTAAGAACGTCTGTATATGTATTCTATATGTTTGTATACTGGCCAACATCTCCCCTACCTCAAACAGTCATTTGCTACATCTAGTGGGCATTACACAACATTACAGACACTCCATGGTGAACCCCTGAATACATGTTTAGATAACTCAGTCTATAGACAATGGTGGTAAAATATTATGTAATAACAACATCCATCTCTGTGCTACATATTCTGAATTGTGACTTGCAAAGTTACACAATGTTCAATTCAGCCAAACTCTCTCTAAGAAGTGCTGCTGCTTTCATTTGTGAGGAGCCCATCTTTCAGATGTCCAGTGCATTCAGGCCAAATTCAGAGAGCAGCCCCTGGGAGTTTTGATGAAAGGTCGTGCTCGTGCCCTCCCACCGCTGTCGAGCCACAGAGAGCTGCGAGGTCAGGCTGTCCAGAGTATCCTGCAGAACACAGCAGAGAGAATGAGACACAAGCTGAAGCTTCACCCGGTTGTCAAACATTATATCCCTCCCACCTTTCACCACCTTTAACGCTGATGTATTTCAGGCGAGAGCTGATAATGAAGGGGCTTAATTAGATTCTGTGTCATACCACGAAAGAGAGAAATAATGATGATTATACACATCCGAGTGCTATAATTACAGGTTGACTCCTCTAACAGGGCTTGATCACTTATTTTAAAAGATCTGTGCACTAAACATTTTTGCATTATCTGCAAATTACATCATTATGCCCTGATGGAAAATTCTGCTATTTCACAACTGGAGTTTGTTTGAAACAATAGAATGTGCCTGTAGGTGAGCATAACTCTGTACAAAATTATTGTGGCTATAAAAAGCATGAGCACTTGTGCTCGCTGCATATAATACATCCACAACAGAGCCCCGTAGGGAAAGGAAATATGATCATTAAAGCAACAATAAAATACTTTTCTATGCTTTATTTTGAATCCTCCTCACATCTTCCTGTAACCAAAGTGGGGTCAACATGCAGATTGATGTTCTGAGGCTGTATAAAGCAAGAACATTCTAACATGTGATTGGAGTAAGTTTGGCCTCAAAATACTTGATTAAGACAGTTGTTTTTTATAGTTGTGTCTGTTATCTCTATATTGATGGTACAAATTTATGTTAACGTTTAGTTTTATAAAACTATGACCCAGGTTGTAAACAAAGCATTTTCCGAGCAACAGGAGAGCTAATTACTGCATTACATGTAATTATGTCGCTGTTTGACACAGACTCTACTCGAGCTTAAGAATAATATCTGATGACCCCCTGCTGTGCCCTGAAGTCCCCACACACCAATCAGCCACAACATTAGGTTTTTTTTTTTAATAGTTGATCAGTGTTGATCAGGGATTTTATATCTAAATTCAATGAATGAAACACAGACTGCAGCAATTGCCATCATGAGTGTCTTGTTATTCTTAAAAAATATAAAAAACTAACTTTCCATCCAGTAATGACTGGTTCAGTATTTATAAAGAAGGATTTAAAGAAAGCTGTGAAGGAGCAGTACTTACAAAACATTGGAGGCTTAAACCTGACTGTTACTATACAGAAATTAATAAAATCACCACACTCCATCTGACCTGTTGTGCAGAGTGTGTGCTGTGTAACCCATCTGATACAAAGCTGGTCTCAGTGCAATGCTCTATGAGTCCCAAGTACTCTCCACATCTGCACAGACCTGACCATTATGAAGAAATACTAGTCCCTGCCTACGAGGCTGATCTCTGCACAGACGAGGGGAAACGCTGATAGTCACTATAGAAACTAATGAAAACTAGATGAGGAATGGGGGGGTGGGAATGATGTTCATCCCAATTGGCTTAGCACATAACTATGTTTGCAGGTTTACAGCACATTGGGCCTTAAAGATGTCCAGTGAAAATTACAGAGTTGTGTTAGTAGCTGCTCCTTCACAACTTTCTTTAAATCCTTTTTATTACCTCTGCCAATTAGGTTCTGTTTCCATCTTTATTTGTTTGTTTGAAACTTGGTGGAAGGATGCCATAACATTTTGGTGCATATTAGGATCAGGGGTTGGATACTGTATAGGACGTTTTTCAATGTTTTTGTTAAATTTCCAAGAGAATCATTTATGGATCTTAGTTTTTAAAAATCTGTCATGTTAAGGGTGTTTGGTGCAGATTGTCTGAATTTAATTGGACTGTTGGCCTTGGTGGAGGTATGTGCTATACTGAGTGACAGTCTAGTTTGAATTGGTTGCGTTACAACTCACATGCAGGATCTTCTCATAGTCTGTTTCCATGTTGTCCAGTTTGCGTTGGAGCTCAGCGATGGTGGCATCCTTCTCCTGCTCCATCTTCTCCCGCTCTCCTTTCTCTTTCCTCAGTTCCTCCTGACACAGAGCTACAGGACAGACAAATTCATAGACATGTCATCACTTTAAATTTGAAAACTACATGGTACTCCTATGTCTGTATTTACTCAAGAATACATATTCAAATGAGGCATATTCATACCAAGCTCTTCATTTAGCTGGCTGACCTCCTTCTCCAGCCTCTTCGTCTTGTCAGTCAGTTCTGTCTGCATGGTTTTGTACTGGCGACTGATGTCTACAATGACATTTGTATTCAATATTTATATATATTCTACATCCTTCATTGCTGATTCACTATGTGAGGCTAATGCAGCAATCAGCTTAGGTACCCAGCTAATTAGACCTTTTGTTCCACAAAAAATTACCATAACCTTAGCAAATAAGCCCCTTGTCCTCACTCCCATAGGGATCCATGCTGTATCTCAGGTTATTAAAAGAGAGGCTAATTGTTCATCCATGCCCCGTCTGTACCGTACTAGAGTTGACGTCCCTGTGGTCTTGTCGCTCATGCTGCAGCTTCTGCTCCATGTCTCTCACACGTCTCCTCAGGTCAATCCTATCAGACTGGACCGTTCTTACAGACTCACACTGTACAGCTGTGGTATAATCACACAAACAACAAGAACACTTTGTGAAAATACTCCTGTCACAGTTGTGTTGCTAAACTGAAGCCTCATTAGTAAAACGTGCTTATGTATCTAATTAGTGCAATAATAATTAGGTGTTGTAGGTGGTATGATGCTGGACGAACTCCCAGCCTCCAACTGGACGACATATTATTCTAATACTTTACAGTAAAAACTAAAACAATATTGAAATAAAAGCCCCAACTAAAAGTCCTGCATTCATAATATTACCTAAATAAAAGTATTATCAGCAGATGTACTTATTTTGGTTTTGCTTTTACTGAATCAATGAATATTTTAAAGGTTCAGTGTGTAGAATTCAGTGATATCTAGTAGTGAAGTTGCATGTTGCAGCTGAACACCCCTCACCTCACCCTCCCCTTCCAAACATGAAAAAGATCCTGTGGTAGCTTCAGTTGTCATAAAAACTCAAAAGTTGTTTAGATTGTCCAGTTTGGACGACTGTGAAAAAAACATTGTGGGTCCTAATGTAAATATAAAGTATTTAAATGTGAAGGGCCTATTCTAGGGTGAAGAAAACCACAATTTGTACAATTTAGATGAAACACCAGTGAAAACATCACTAGGATTATTTTATATTCAATTTCTGCCAATAGATCCCTTTCACCTAAATCTTACACACTGAACCTTTAAGAAGATTTTAATTTTGTATCAGGTGCAGGGTGAACCATTGGTATTAAATAAATGTGTCCTATGAAACAATTCATTTAACTTAAGCTATTAACTACATCTGTCAAAAGGTAAATGATTTCCCACTGAAAAGTTTAATGTAGTAGAAGTAGAGGGTAGAATAAAAACAGATGTGTTTCAGTAAACTACCCTAAAGTGAAGTTTAACAACTTTAAACAGTCTATAACGGGAAATGGTTGATATGAAAAAACATGTTTTAAAAACTAAACATGTATCCGATAATTTGATCAACAGAGAAGTAATGTTTTAATAATGAAACAATAAATTAAGTGCAAATGCCCAAAACTTGTTGTGACGGTGGGGTGTGGTTAGGGCGCCAACTGTAGGACAACAGGGAGGAATCAGGTGATCAGGCCATCAATAAGAGCATGCTGGTAACCTGGTTCTGTTCTCTTGCAGTAGGCTGGGTTCCTGACACTGGAGCAGCCGGAGGACGTGTGTGGACGTGTGGGGACGTGTGTGGACGTGTGTGGACGTGTGTGGACGTGTGTGGACTTGTGTGGACGTGTGTGGGTTGAGAGACCCGTGAATATATGCGTGTGGTTTCCAGGCGAAGTGACATGAAATAAAGACTGTGTTCAAACCCCATTCTCCTCTCCCTTGTTTACCCGGAGTGGGCCGAGTATTCCCACACTTGTTTGTCCACATTTTTAATAGGATTTGTTTTTTTCTGTTTTAAATGAATTTAACAGATACATTTGTTTTGTGGACTTTTGGTCGAACAACACAACTAACCTGAGAAATGGACAGATTATTTTTCCTACTACTGTCTAACATTTAGTTGATTGAATTATGAATCTGTTAAGTATGAAAGGAAGCAACAGAACATGTTACGTCAGACATTCTTAAGAAACTACAGTGTTAATTCATTCTTTTTTAAACATGAAGGGTTATTTATTTTAAACAAAGGTCGCCTCTAGTTTGACCCTGAAAGTAAGGTACAGTAATATGGTCAATATTTAAAGCACACTCAATCAAATAAGTCAACTTTAAAATAGCTGCTCACCAATGTGATCCTGTAGGATGGCCACATCCAGAACGCTGCGTCTGTACTTTGCCTCCAGGTCATTGTCACCTGCAACAAGACAAAAAATACTTTTACGTCCATGTTGCATCACATGAGAAAGAAAAACTGTGGATCATCTTAGAGGAAAATTACATCTGTCTTGTTTCTTCTTTGTAATCTTTTTTGTCTTTTTCTTTGGAGACATGTTTGCTCGCTGTGTGTCTGCCTGCTCACTCCTCTGAGTACACACACACACACACACACACACACACACACACACACACACACACACAAACACACACACACTCTAACCACAGAGAGGGATGAGTCTTTGTTGCTGGGCGCTGGTTGCCACAGTGAGTTGCCACGGCACTAACTGGCCGTGTCGCTTAATTGACTGCTGACTGACTGTGACATCAGCAAATCACAAGTTGTCTAGGGCCCCTCCCGCGGTTAGAAGCTCGTGCACACCCTGACACCGGATCCGTACTTTTAGTGAGACGTGTCAAAGCGTCCGTTGTTGCCCGGGGCGACCGTGTGCCTCCCGGGACGATCCCGGGAGAGTTCAGCGCTTCCGCAACGTTTTGGAAAAGCTGCGCGCACCCGGTTACATTCATGGCTCGTGAACGCGCACCAGAGGGGCTGGGCCAAGGGAAGGGAACGTGAATCAAATGAAAGGAAAAGGGCCGCACGCACACGTCACGGGAGGAAACCATAGACTACATGAAGAGGAAACAGAAAGAAAAAAAATCCTGAGCAATGTTTGATTCCCGTCGTTATTTATTCATCTCTGTCCCCGCGTGTGTCCGAGAAGCTTTCGCAGTTTTCGGCGCAACTTCCTGTCCCCGGTCACCGGTGAGCGCTCGCTGTCGTCAGCCCGCAGAGGAGGAGGGCTGACTCTGTCACACAGACACCGAACTTCCCGTCAACACACAGCACGGGAGAAACGGGCTGCCACCGAAGAGGGGGACGGCATCGGGATTTTGTCGAGAGGAGACGACCCGAGGCTCCAGCACGGAGAGACGGTGCCATTTTCTTCCAGCTGAGGGCGAGTGGAGGCAGGTCTGGTGCTCTGCTAATTAGCCTGCGTGGGTCCCTGCAGAGAGACAGAGCAGCTAGCTGCAGCACACAGCGGCTCACAGGGTGTGAGTGACCGAGGGGCTTTAGCCACGATCGGGACATTTATCTGGCAAACTCATGTTAGGTTTCCTGATGGGAGTATTTGTCCGATAGTCATCCCTCCCTCCCTCTACCCCCTGTCGGACCGTGGCTCAGAGTCGCCGCTCGGGCGCTGTCCTCGCCGGGGGGTGCCGGATCACCGTCGCCCGGTCCACCTAACTCCAGGCGGCGGTTCGGTCACCCTGACCCCTGCCTCGCCTCGCCTGTCTGCCGCTCTGGCCGACCCTAGCCGAGCCCGAACATGGCAGGCAACCTGAAGAAAGGCGGGGGGCTCATCGGTATGATGAAGGATGCCTTCCAGCCACACCATCACAACCTCCACTCCCATCACCAGCCAGGGGCCGTGGACAAAAAGACTGTGGAGAAATGTTGGAAGCTGATGGACAAGGTTTGTTCTGATCGCCGTTAACTAGCCCTTAACTAGCTCTTCACGTTAGCCGCAGCGGTGGGTGCCTTGGGCGACTGCTAGCTAACCGCAGCTAACTAGCGATAAGCTAGCTAATCTTCGCCTGCTGCAGGTCTGTTGTAGCTAGCGTGAAGTTGGCTAGTCAGTTGGTTGAAGACTTGGTTAGCCAGCGTTAGCTCATTTACAAACACAAAGTTTACTACATAGTGAATGAAGTCGCAGACTCCCTCACGCACACTTTAAAACACAGAGCCTTAAAACAGCGCAACATTAACGTTAGCTCATGGAGCGAGAGAGACTTTCTGCAACACATCTGTTTGCTACTGTTGTGCCACTCTTGCTAACTTGTTGTCATGTCGTGCTACAGCCAACTTGTTGGAGCACATCTGAATACTAAGATGTATCGTAAACATTAATTAAAGAAACCAAGTCTTGAGATTCATCGAGTTTAGCACAGGAACAGTCCCTCCTGTATATTGTTGTTGAAATACAGTCAACTGTCTGTCAGCTGCTGGAAACTGTAACAAGGCACCAAGTAAAACATAAAGGAAATGAGTCCATTTAACTAGGCCAGTTATGCTGTTTCACAGGGAAGACTCATTTCACAGCTTCACTTCTCAGGAAAGAAGTCTGTAGCAGTTTGACCCCCAGTTTCCTGTAGAGATTCACACAGCAGTATTAGTCTGAGGAGGAAGACAGGCCACTCTTTTGTGTCTCCTTCCTCTTCGAGGCCTTAGTTCGAAGATCTGATGTTAAGCCAGTTTCCAAAGCTATTATTAAGAAACCACAACCCAGTTTATTTTGCCCCATTAGCATCTGTAGACCTGACACGAGTGACCCTTCAGCGTCAGTCATTTTTTGTTCCCAGTGAATGTTCAAAACTCTAAAAAAAAAGTTTTTGTGTCTCTGTGTTCGAAGTGAAGACAAGATGACACAAGATGCATAACTGACCTCATGCCAGTTAAACCACCTGCACAGACAGATTAGCTTTTGCAGTTTACAGTGTGAGAATAATTTACCATATTCATTTGATGCAGGAAAACAGTTGCGGGACCAGCGAGAGAGAGAAAAAAAAAAAGTATCTCACCTTTTTATGAAGACTTTAAGACCAGAAGTATCTCAACCAGATTGTTCAAAATAGCTGCAGAAATATTGGTCAGCGCTGTCTTCAGGAAAACAGCCCAGCATATAAACCATAGACCAACACTTGCAAAGTAAAAATAGTTTCTCTTAAAAAAACACCTCCCACACAGCAAGTTACATTTTATCAGAAGCATTAGGTTAATATTTCTCTTCAGTGTTACTCAGTGTGCCTTTTCCATAGACAGCATAACAAAGCTTAATTATTGAAATGTTGTGTGCAAGCTTTTGACTTGAACAATACATTTGTGATACCCTGACAAAATTTGCGTTTAGGAGTCTGAATCAAGTTTAAACAGAGAATTTAACTTTATAGCTATAAAAGTTTAACCATTACGTGTTACATTACTGCCTCTGCTCTGCGTGCTACATGCTTCAGGCTAATTATCCATTCTTTAACCCAAACCGGAATATTGTTGTGGAAAATCAGCCACACTTCTGGCTAAGATTACTTTAGTTATTTGGCTTATTAAAGACACTCTTGGAGATAATCAGAAGTGAATTCTAGTTCAAAGGCTGCTCAGAGATGATATGGATGATAGCAGTTTTGTGAGTACAGCTCACTGACGCACATTTCTGAACTTATCAGAGAATGATAGCTGTGTGAAATTAGATATACCTCTACCCATTAATCATCGTATTTACATTGGTAAAATGTTAAAATTATATTATGTTGACATGGAGGTATTTAGTATCAATATACTTTTGTTTTCTTCATTTTTGTTTGCAGGAGTTGAAATAATGAAAGTAGCCATTTTATTTTGAATTATACCAGTTCCATTGTCTGGCTGACAAATTCTGTCCTGTTCTCCTGTAGCACTTCCTTTTTTCATTGGTTTTTGTTCTTTTTATGTCTTTTGTGCCTACACAATTGTAGTAAGACAGCAGTCACTGTCTTATCTTAAACATAGCTTTAATCTACTGAGTGTAAACGCTAAATTCAACTTTGATAGTACTTCAAAATACAAAATGGTTCAAAAAAATGGTTGATTGAGGTGTACAACATAGTTTTATCAGACTTTCTTATTGAAAAAAAGATCCACATAGTGAAATCAAAAATCGAGTAATGAACTTATTGTTCATTTTTCCAGGAACAGTCTTTGAGCTCTACAGAAAGAGGAAACCGTTGCCCTTTAATAGGGAAAGTTGAGACAACAAATTCCACCAGCGTCAACTTTTCTTCACACTTGTTGTTTAAAAAGTTGTTTTTTAAAAACTTCCAGGTCCGTGCCATGTTTAGAATCAGCTAGAAGAGAGCAAGAGAAAAAGATGAGTGGAATGCAGTTTAGCTTGGAGCCACTCAACATTTTACATCAAGTCAGCAGCCTTACCAGAGTACTCGGTTATTGTGCCCTTGCATGCATGTACATGTGCTTGCCTGAGGTTTGAATATAAGTCTTGTTGCGGTAGATGATATTGTTCGAGGCACAACAACAGTCATAACCAGTGTAAACTTCCTTGCACATGGAGAAGGGTAAGGAATGAAGACACAGTGTTGGTTGGTAATGACACAGGAGGCATATTGGCATCAGCTCAATTGTTAATGTAGTCAAAAAAAAAAAAAGAATCCAAATGTCAACTATAAAAAGATTATGTAAAATACGTAAAGGTACACAGCTCTTTTTACTGTGCTGCGTACACTTGAGTAGAAGTTGTTCCAAAGCAGCTTTGGGCTCGTCTTTCTCCTTCAGTAGCATCTTAGTTTTTCTTATTGATTAAATAGATTAAATGAAATGGTCATTGCTAACTTTACCTGTTCAGTCTAATGCTGAATGCACTATGGATGCTTATGACCAATATTTGATAAATAGTCGTTTTGTAGTTGAATGTCCTACAAAACGAGCCATATTACTTTTTGTAGCTTCCAATCCATTCATGTTTCAATGAACTCTGATTATTGTTGATGTTAAAAACGATGATTTTTAATTTATAAATTAAGTGTTGGATGTAGTTGATATCTACTTGATCTAATTGCATTGATCGATTTTACCCTCAGTGTCAGTAGGAAGTTGAGACTCACTTCTCGCAGACCGAAGAAAGCCCAAATGCTAAAAACGCTCTCCATGTTGTGGAAGCGACCCTGCCGAAAATATCCCACCAGTCAAATGTGACCTTATTCTTTTGAGAAGCATTTGATACAGTGATGATGAAAGTCCTGGTCCGAGTCCAGTGGCCCATATACAAAGTGGTATCTCATATATGTGTTGCACTCTCACTCAAGGATCTATAAAGCACCAACTAAGGATTGTTCTCATCATTTGAGTTTTTTTTCTTAATGATTTGGTTAAAAAATGTGAGAAACTTCTGGAACAACCCAATTTCATAACAGTTTAGATGACACCACCAAATAGCTTATTTTGAGATTTCAAAGATATTCAATTACAATGACATAAGCCACAGAAGATCAGATCATCATAACAAATGAGAAGCTGGAATAAAAGAATTTTTTTATCGAAAAAATTACTTTCAATCATCTTGATGGCAGT